GTAAACCCAGAATTATGGATTTGTGAGCCATGACTCTCTGGGACATGAAGTAGAGATGTTTCCTAACTAAATGCTCCTTGCTGGGTGAGATGACCTTGTGAACCTCACTTACAGACTTTGTCTGTTGTTCCAGGTCAGAAAGCACATGTCTGAATCATGAAGAAAGGACCTGGGGAGTCACAAGGGATATACCAGACCTCTCTCTGATCCATCTGCACCTCTATTGGCTGTATTCTTGAAATTATTAGTACAGCCAGATAACTGGGAAAGATCTCTGATTGTCCAATTCTGATTTAGTAAAATGATTCTTTGTTAGCTCACAGAATAAGTGGTTTTCAGATTAAATTATTTTTAAGGAAAGCAAGAGAATACTGGGGGTAAGAACAGTAGGATGACAATAAAGGGGCTGTCAGGACACTTCTGAGTTGTAATGTTTTAGTTCTTAAAGCTAGTACATGGTATTTGTTTTATTGCTCTTTAAATGACACAAATATGCTTCATTTGTGAATGATATACACTTGATGCTCAAATATTAAGCACATGTAATTCAACAAAAGAAAGAGGGTGAACATAGGATAATGTCTTAAAAGTTTCACATGAAGGGAAAGAAGGTGATGAGGAGGTGGCTAAGAGGCGTGTAGGCTGGAGAGAAAATGTGTCCTGAAGCAGAGGATAGTTTTTAGATTCCTAGAGTTGGTATCAAGGTTATTCTTCAATACTCTCTCCCAGTTGGTTCACTGATGGGCAATTCACCTGCATGATGCTGGCTTCTGAATATACAGTGACCCTATGGAATCCAAATCTGTGGTCATCTGAGCCCCTGGTTGAACAGAATCTAACAGATAGGAGGTTCCAATCGTGGTGGTGAGGGGGCTAGGGAAGGAAATATCTGTGCTGTCAAAAGCCCACCTTCTACCTTTATTTAAGCCAACTCTGTTGAGCTCTCTTCCTCTTCCATCTTTAGTATTCTTACCTTATTCTCCATCCTATATCTTAGGAGTCATGAGAACATACTCCTTCATCACCTGCTGGCCTCCCAGGGCCTCAGGTCAGCAACAATGAAAAACTGAGGGAGTGAGGTAGGGCTGGAAGAGAAGATGCCCAGGGCAGGGCACAAAGAGCTGGTCAGCGGGTGGCTGTGGGCAGCTTCAGGTGCTGCCAGCAAATATGTTGAGCCCAGTTGCCTCTCTACCAAGATCATATAAAGATAATTCTGTTCTATTCCTCAACTTGTCACTTATTATGACAGTAACTTGTAGGAAATAGTGAGTTATACATCAGTCTCTCCATTTCTATCTAGTGAAGACCATAAGAAAAGAGAAAATATCTTCCCTAGAGCTCTAGCTGTGCAGAAAAATTTGTGAATGAATATCTTCCTCATAACAGCATTTGTAATTGTGAAAACCTTGAAAATAATCTAAATCTGAAAAAATAGGGACTAGTTATATGTATTAAGGTATACACAGATAGAATATCGTACTCCTAAAATACTGAATTCTTAAACATGTAATGTCAAGGGAAAATGTTTCCAACATGTTTGCTAATAAGATTCAATACGCAACACTGTACATAGACTACTACGTCCCTCATCATGAACGCACACCCACATATACAAAAAAGACTAGAAGAATAGACCAAAATGTTAAAAATGGTTAGTAATAAAATCATGGGGGATTTTTTTTTCTTTTACGCTTTTTCGTATACCAAAAATGCTTTCTGTTATTCCAAATTTTCATCAATGAGTACATATTACAGGTGGAAAAATGAAATATTTAAAAAATGTATTACTATTAATAAGACTGATCAGTTAAGTCAGAAGTGGAAAAATACAACCCATAGAATGGGAGAAAATATTTTCAAATTATGTATCTGATAAGGATCTAGTATCCAGAATATAGAAATAATTCCTAAAACTCAACAATAAAAAAATCAAGGCTGGGCGCGGTGGTTCACGCCTTTAATCCCAACACTTTGGGAGGCCAAGGCAGGTGGATCACCTGAGGTCGGGAGTTCGATACCAGCCTGACCAACATGGAGAAACCCCATCTCTACTAAAAATGCAAAATTAGCTGGGCGTGGTGGTGCATGCCTGCAATCCCAGCTACCCAGGAGGCTGAGGCAGGGGAATTGCTTGAACCTGGAAGGCACAGGTTGCAGTGAGCCGAGATTGCACCATCACACTCCGGTCTCAGCAACAAGAGAAAAACTCCGTCTCAAAAAAAAAAAAAAAAAAAATCAATTAAAAAATGAGCAAAGGGTCGGAATAAATATTTCTCCACAGAAACTATACAAACAGCCAATATGCACTTAGAAAGAGGCTAAACATCATCAGTCTTAAGGGAAATGCAAGTCAAAACCATAGTAAGATACCACTTCACACCTACAAGCTGGTTATAATAAAAATGGTGGACAATAATAAGTGTTGACAAAGGTGTGGAGTAATTGGAATCCTTATACAGTGCTGGTAGGAGTGTAAAATGGGATAGCCACTTTAGAAACCAATCCAGCAATTCCTCAATCAGTTAGAGATAGTTACCATATGACCAGCAATTTCACTTCTAGGTATAAACCCAAGAGAACTGAAAACGTATGTACACAAACTTCAATTCAAAACAAATGTTCAGAACAGCATTATTCATAATAGCCAAAAGGTAGAAATAACTCAAGTATTCACTAACTGATAAATGGATAAACAAAATATGGTATATCCATATAATAGAATACTGTCAGCACAACTAGGAACAAAGTAGTGATTCTGCCAACGTGGGTGAACCTTGAAAACACGCTAAGTGAAAGCTGGCCAAAGACCACATTTTGTATGGATCCATTTGTATGAAACATCCAAAACAGGTAAATCCAGAGAGAGAGAAAGTAGATTACTGGTTTGGGGCCATGGGGGACAGGGAAGAATGTGAAGTGTCTGCTAATGGGTGTGGGGGTTTCTTTTGGAGTGACAAAAGCAGTCTGAAATATGATAGTGGTGATGATTGTACACCATCTTGTGTATATGCTAAACACATATACACTACGTGTGAATATGCTAAAAACTATTAAATTGTACACTTTAAAATGGAGAATTTTGTGGAATGTAAAGGATGGCTGGAGGGCAAAACAAAACAAAACAAAAAACAAGCAAGGTTGGGCACAGTGGCTCATGCCTGTAATCCCAGCACTTTGGGAAGCCGAGGTAAGTAGATCACTTGAGGTCAGTAGTTTAAGACCAATCTGGCCAATATGGTGAAATCTTGTCCCTACTAAAATATAAAAATTAGCCAGGCATGATGGTGGATGCTGGTAATCTCAGCTACTCAGAAGGCTGAGGCAGGAGAATCACTTGAACCCAGGAGGCAGAGGTTGCAGTGAGCTGAGATCCCACCACTGCACTCCAGCCTGGGCAGCAGAAAGAGACTCCGTCTCAACAAACAAACAAACAACCAGAGGTGGAAGGTTATATAGGGCCCAAAGGCTCTTGCAATGACAGACACACAGAATGCCACTGATGGAACGTCCTCAGGGATTGCCTGGGTCACTGTATTCTTTGAGTGAGTTTGGGCCTAGAGGTATTCACTTTCCTGGTTGAGGTCACACCACCCAAGAGAAAACACATCGTCAGATCTGCCCCTAACTGGCCATGGCAGGACACTGGGATGATGAGGATCAGCAAGAAAGAGTGCCATTTCAACACTCTCACAGTTAAGTACTTTTAATACCATGGGGGTACTTGACCTAAAATTAACCCTCAGGAAACAGTCTGAACTCAAGTCAACAGGGTCCAAAGCCCTGATGTGTAGTCCAAAGCAGAACTGGCATCATGGGTGAGCAACCTGTGCAGTTGCATGAGCAGAGTAGAGAGGTACGACATGCATGTCTGCCATTCCTTGCTGCTCATGTGCACAGATTCTGGTAGACTCGCGATAGGCAGGAGTTCCACGGGACTGGAAGTGACTATAAGGTAAGTATGTTACACCTACAACTGGGGAGGCAGGGGCACTGACAGCCCTGGGGGCCGTGCTTCCCTTCAAGATGGATTTGAGTGCAAACAGAAGACAACCCATGGAGCCTCTCATATTCTTTCTTACCCTGTTACCTTCCCACGTTAGACAACAACTTATGCTGAAATGACAACATAAAAGCAAGGAAAAGACAGGGCCGCTCCTAGATCCTTTTTCTTTCAGCCCTTTCTTACTCTTCAGTAAGTTGCAGGCAGAGTGTTGGTAGAATGCACACACCTCAGGAAGTGACGTAAAAACAGTGCAGTCAGTTTTGTACTGTTTCTGCCGTTCTGGTAAGAACAAAATACACGTGCACGTGGGAGCTACAAAATATGATTTAGGTCACTTGGCTGATTCTGCCTACAAGTTAAAGGCTCTTATATTTGCATTTGAAACTGACACTTCATAAGATAAAGTTGAATGGTAAAATTCATGGTAATAATTTTAAATTTTAATTTTTCTTTCCTTATGACATTACATACCAAATTAGAAAATCACCACAAGGTGGGAGAAACCACAGAAGAAAGTGAAGAGTTGTTTTAGTATCTTTAACAGCACTTTTGCTCCAGTGTTCCATAAATGGTCCTTCATTTCCATTTTGCATTGGTTCCTACAAATCATGTATCTGGCCCTGCCTGAAGTTCCATCTCCCTCAGGTGTAAGAAGCACGATTTCTGTCTCTGTTTCTTTCTCTCCCCGTCTCCTTGAGTGAAGGTGCTGCTGACAGACGGCATGTTCTTTAAAGGAAAATAGCTAACCAATTTCCCCTATATCAAGGGTTCTTGAGCATGAATACACATCAGACTTTCCTGGAAGGCTTGTCATAACACGGTCTGCTGGACCCTCAGAGTTTCTGATTCAGCAGGTCTGGGGGTAAGCCTGTGATCCTGAATTTCTAATAAGCTGGTGGTGCTCATATGCTACACACGTGGTCTAAAGTAGGCGCCATCTCAGCCTTTGACAATTGCCAAAGCTCTACGATACCTTATAAAAGGCATGGTCTGGTACCTCATAAATGTTGAGTTGCTCCACTAAGTCCAGGTCAGTCCCTTTCTTGTTCAAGTGCCTCTGGGACACAGCAGCGATGCCCAGCTCCTCCAGGCAGTCCACGACATCGTAGAAGGTGTCTTGGTCTGGCAGTCCTGATAACGTCTGGAAGAAGAGAAGAACCAGCTACAGACACACCATAGAAGACTGCCTTGAGGCTCTCAAGGCATTTTCCAATGCCTAATCCAGGCATATTGTTATAATCATGACCACTAATCAACCCAGATAGATGACAAATTTATTTGAGCAAAAGCCTCTTCAGTGTGGCAGGCAGAATGAACCCCAATATTCTCCCGTCTGGTGTACATGTGCTACATAATCTCCTCGGCTTGAGTGTGGGCTGGGCATTCCCATGAGAGGGGGGCACTCCCATGATTAGGTTACATTAGGTGGCAAAGGTGAGGGGATTTTGCAGATGTAATGAAGGTGCAAAATCAGTTGATTTTCAGTTAATTGAAGAGGTGACTCTCCTAGGTGATAATCAAGTAGGCCCTTTAAAAGAAGGCTTAGCTCTTCTCTGAGCTCTGGACTGGAAAGAGATTATCCCACTGGCCTCGAGGCAGCAGCAACCGCCACGACTTTCACAGAAGCAAGGAAATGAATTCTGCCAACTACATAGACCTGGAAGAGGACCCCAAGCCTCAGATGAGACTCCAGCCCTGGGCGACACCTCGGCTGCAGCCTTGTGAGACCCTGGGTAGAGGACCTACTAAGGCCATGCTTGGACTTCCTGCCCCATGGAAGCTGTGAGATGATACATGGGTGTTGTTTGAAGTGGCTAAGTTTGCGGCAATTTGTTACACGGCAATAGAAAACTAACATACTTTGTAATTACAAACTCCTGTTAAGATCCATACACCAACAACTGGAGTTGTAACAACTTAATTTTATTAAATTGTATTTAAATTCAACAGGGCCTCCCCATGGTCTATGAAATTTAGAAAAGCATGAGAAATTTCAAGGCAGCATAAGAGTCAAAAAGAGAACCCAAGAAAGAAAAAGCTGACTTCTCTTTGAATTCTACCTCTCTTAAGAGAAGGAGGGTATCTGAGACAAGGCCCTGGCTCAGAGCTGGAAGAAGCCTGAGATTTACTGCAAGCCCCTTATCTTATATAGGAGGCAGAGAAGGATAAACGCCTGAGGCAACAGGAAGTGACTGAAGACACTGGGATAAAACCCTGGGCTCAGAGCTGCCATTCCAGTCTCAGCCTTTAGTCCCTACTTACTTCACTATCTCTGCATTTCTAAGAACAAGACATACATTCCAAAATTATTCTAAACATGATAACTTGCCTAGGAAGGAATAAGACCAACACTTCTGTAAAGACCATTTCATAGCACCAGCTCCTCTAACACTTCTATCTTGGGGCTATCAATGTTGGAAAGAAGGCCTCTATTCACAACTCGAATAATGGCTTTTTCCTATTTAAGCTAAAGAGGACACAAGTTACTGCTATTGAGATAAAACTAATGAAAACCAACTGTGATGTGATAGCCTAATTATTCAAGGCCCCAGTAAGGACACAAGGCAGGAGGCTGTGAATCTGAAGCCATCATAAATAGGTGTTCACACTTGGGCTGCCATGTATGACAGCACACACCAGTGTCTACAGGCACCAGGCCAACCACATCTCAATGACAGGTAATAACGGTCATCAGGGCTGCCCTCTGCTTCCAACATTGATTAAAAACTTGCACATCATTCAAAGAATCCTAGCATCCTTTGCTTTTAGTGAAAACTCTAGAACTTATTAAAAGATGAGAGGGAAATAGCAATACCAGGCCTGGGCAGGGTGAACAATTAGAGATGCCCTAACTGCCAGGTGACTGCAAAATGCACAGCCTAAGGGATGCAGGTGAAGGGATGTCTAGTGTCAGAATTAAAACTTGCTACACAGCAGCGTGGGGGCCAGCCCCAGGCACACAGAGAGGCCGCTGGTAGTCTCTTCACCTCTCTGTTCCCCCACCTTCCTCTTCCCCTTTCTCCTTGCTGGGAGCCCACTGAGGTTCTTTCACTCAGAAGTTTCCAGGAGGTTAAACTGCTAAACCTGATCCCCATTGCTTTAGCAAGTCCAGCCATAAAGGGTGAGGGAACCATTAGTAAATAATTAAAAAATTAGAACTATAGAAGTAAGCAGGGGCCAGGCACAGTGGCTCAGACCTGTAACTCCAGCACTTTGGGGGGTTGAGGCAGGTGGATCACTTGAGGCTAGGAGCTCAAGACCAGCCTGACCAACATGGCGAAACCCAGTCTCTACTAAAAATACACATTTGCAGGATGTAGTGGCACATGCTTGTAATCCCAGCTATTTAGGACGCTTACACAAGAATCACTTGAACCCAGGAGACGGAGATTGCAGAGAGCCGAGATCGTGTCACTGCACTCCAGCCTGGATGACAGAGCAAGACTCTGTCTCAAAAAAAAAAAAAAAAAGAACTAAAAAGACTCAGGAAACTCTTGCCCCTTGCTCAGTAATAAGCCCTGAACTGAGGGTATCAGCAGGTCATTTGTCATTTCCACAGTGAAAATATGGGCTTAAGCCAACCCTGCATACTATCACCTTTCATGCAGGCTGCAGGGGAGACGATGGCCTTCTGCCACTCACGAATGCAGCTTCTTTTTCCAGCTGTGCAAGAGGGTGCTATACATCTTTTTAAAAATTCATTTTTTTTTTGGTTGATTCTCTAATAGGCTCAGTAAATTCTACCACACTCCCACTTGTCCCTGGGCTTCCCCTCCCAGTTCCACCCTGCAGCCACCCTGCTGCTAAGTTGTCCACTTCTGACAAAAATGGCAGCTTCACCAGAAAAGTCTGCGAGGTAAAGGTTTGCTGATGCATTCACCCTCAGACACTAAAGGTGCCGAGCGTAGCTGCCTGACACTTTGCATCCCTCCTCCTGTTTTTTCTTAGACTTTCTCTTGACAAGGCCTGTGACAAGTAAATCTTCAGGCCTCTCTCAGAGGTGGAAATTCTTCCTAAAGGACATTCTTCCCCCTCCCTGGGTTTTCATTGATTCCACCAAGTCTTTCTAATAGGATAAAACCATTGTGGCCAAGCCGGTACGCGAATGTTCATAGCAGCGCTATCTGTGGAAGCCAAAAGCTATATACACACAAATCTCCTTCAACAGGTGAGTGGGTAAGCACATATGCATCTCTACAAGGAATACTACACAGCAGTGGAAAGGAGTTAATTAATATATTGCATATATTAATATATGCAATAAAAGATGAATCTCAAAAGGCATTATACTGACAGAAGCCAGCCTCAAAGGGTTACTTACTGTATGATTCCATCTGACATTCTTGAAAAGACAAAATTACAGTGATAAGAGAATAAATCAGTGGTTTCTCAGGATTACATACAGGAGGTCAGAATGTCACTATAAAAGGATAACATGGGGGAATACTATGTTATTATTAGTCTGTATTCTAATTGTGAAGGTGATCCATCTCCATGTATGTGTTAAAACTCATATAGCTATATTCTAAAAGGTGCACTGTTATGGTTTGAATGTGCCCCCCACCAAAACTTACACCCCAATACAGCAGTGTTGGAAGGGAGAACCTTAAAGCAGTGATCAGGTAATGAATGGATTAGTCCTGTTATCTCAGGACTGGGGTAATTATTGTGGGAGGCGTTTCCCAGTAAAAGGATAGTTCAGCCATCTTATCTTCCCTACAACCCTTGTCACCCTCTGTATCCCACTATGGGATAGCACAGAAAGAAGGGCCTGGCCAGATGCCAGCACCTTGATATTGGACTCCCAGCCTCAAGAACTGTGAGTATTTCTTTCCTCTATAAATTACCCAGCCTGTGGTATTCTGTTATAGCAACACCAAACAAAGACATAAAATTGATACAGAGAAGTGGGCTGTTGCTATAACAAATAACTGAAAACGTGAAAGCAGCTTTGGAATTGGGTAATAGGTAGAGGCCAGAAAAATTTGGAGAAGCAAGCTAGAAAAAGCCTAGATTGCCTAGAGCATTATCTGGTTGACTCTGGTGGGAGCTCAGAAGAAGAGAATAGTTATAGGAAAAGTCAGAGCCTTCTTAGAGACTGCTGAAGTGGTTGGTAGAAATACAAATGGTAAAGCCAATTCTGAAGAGGTTTCAGATGGAAATGAGAATCAAGGTATTAGAAACTGGAATAAAAACCATCCTTGTTTTAAAGTGGCAAGAACTTTGCTGAACTATGTCCATGTCCTAGGGCTCTAATGAAAGAGAATTTAAGAGCAATGAACTGGGATGTCTGGTGAAAAAAAATTCTAAGCAAAATATTGAAGGAGTTGTATGGTTACTTCTAATTGCATATAGGAAGATGCAAGAGGAGAGAAGTGATATAAATATGGAGTTTATTAAAAGGAAAGTAGAGTAGAAAAATCTGAAAAAGTCACAGCTTGGCCCTGTAAAGAGTGAAAAGACATCTTTTGGAAAGCAAACCAAAGGCAGAGCCAAGTGACCATTTGCTAAAAGGATTATAGTATGGATAGAAGGGAGCCAGTGTTCTTCACCAAGACGATGGGAGAAAAACTCCAAAGGCATTTCAGAGACCTTCTAACCAAGCTAGGACCTTGAGGGCCAGGTTTCTGGACAAGCAACAGCGGTACCTCAGCATTCACTGCTCAGGGCCACTCAGGATCCTGCTCCCAGAATTCTGGTGCAGGATTTTTTGGCCACCCCAGCTGTGACTCAAGCAGGCCTTGCTGTTCTGGAAGGTACAAGCCGTAAAACACACGGTGCTCATTCTGCAGGTGTGGAAAATATAAGAGCTGTGGAGCCGTGGTGACCTCAACCTAGAGCTAAAAGAAGGTTGTGGACAGCCTCAGGTCCCAGGAAGAGACTGGTCATGGGGTGAAGCCACTGTGGAGAGTCCCCAGTAGGGCAATGCCTAGTGGAGCCATGGGAGCGAGGCAGCCCTCAAGACCCTAGAACTGTAGAGCTATCAGTGTGCAATCCAGCCCAGGAAAGCTGTAGGCAAAAGCTCCAACCTAGGAGAGCTGAAGTGTGGGCTGAGCCCAGCAAAGCCATAGGGATGGGACTGCCAAAGGCCTTGTGGGCCCAACCCCAAGGTGCCCAGGATGTGGGACATGGAGTCAAAAGAGACTATTCTAGAGTCTTAAGATTTAATATTGTTTTTTTCTCTCTCGGGGTTTGGACTTGGAACTAGTTACCCTTTTCTTCTTGCCTATTTCTGCCTTTTGGAATGTGAACATCTATGCCAGTTCCAACAATGTATTTTGGAAGTAGGTAACTTGTTTGATTTCAGACTCACAGCTAAAGGGAAATTTGCCTCAGGATGAATCGTGCCTTGAGTCTTACCTATACCTGATTCAGATGAGACTCTGGATTTGGGACTTTGAGTTCGTACTGGAATTCATTAAGACTTTGGGGCTATTGGGATGGAATGGATATATCTTGCACATGAGGAGGACATGAATTTTGGGGACCGGGGGCAGAATGCTATGGTTTTAATATGTCCCCCAAAGTTCATGCGTTAGAAACATAATCCCCAAAGCAACAGTGTTGAAAGGAGGTAAATTGGATGAATGCCATTATCTCAGGAGTGAATTACTTACTGCAGGAATAGGTTCCTAATAGAGCATAAGTTTCACCCCTTCTCCTCTCTTCCCCTACAACCCCCTTGCCCTCTACCATGGATGGCACAGCAAAGAGGTCCTCACAAGATGCCAGTACCTTGATACCTTCATATTGAACTTCCCAGTCTCCAAAACTGTGAGAAATTGATTTCTTTATAAATTACCCAGTCTGTGGTATTCAGTTACAGCAACACAGAATGGACTAAGACAATAATTTTAAAACAATAAAAGTAAATGTAAAAACAAAGGCAACCAGTCAGCATGTACCATCCAGGTTAGTTATCCCCTAGCCCCACTGAACAACTCCTCTCCCCATGGCTCCCTGGGGTCCTGCTTTCCCTGAATACCCTAAGCCGGCCTCACGGTAACCCCTCTTGTTACTCATTCTACCTCCCATCCCCAGTCTGCTTCATCCTATTTTACAAGGTAATCAGTTTTAGAACAGTAACCAGGATAGGACTTAGTGTCATTGTTTTGTCATGGAAATGTCCATTGTAAAAAATTCTATATTATTAAGGGCCTTTATTTTGTTGAAATCAATAGTTATAAACAACCCAACTTGCAATATAATTTCTCAGATTTCACAGTCTGAATGTTTTCCAGACCCAGATTAACATTTTGTTATTTTGTTTGGTATCTCAGAGGAGTTTACTCATTGGGCAATACGCATTACTACAATATAACAAAACAAAACAAACCTGGCATGAGCGCTGGTGATCTTGTTTAACCCATTTATGCCAGAGGTTGCAAATTTTTTTGTGTGAAAAATCAGACCTTGGCGATGACCTTGAGAAGAAGGATATAAATAACTCGCACAAGCTTAGCGTTCCAATAATGGAACACTAGGCATAAATTAGTTAAGGAAAGGATTAAATTTGAATGAATGACCTCAAGGATCTTTCTGGATGTCTCCTTGGCTAGAACTAACAAAGGATGAGAAAGAACTGCCAGATGAGAAAAAGCAAGTGAGGGATTCCTGGACATCAAATGCCACAAAATGCCAAGCAGAGGGTGACAGGCACTGGGTCCCTGCCAGTGAATAGCAACAAAGTACCCACATTGTGTGGGTACTGGTATGATCATAAGAACATGTGGGAATGGCCTTATCAATAAAATAATGTTACAATGGGGAACACTGTGCCAGCGTGAGAATTCCATTTTTGCTGAATTCAGTGTTTTCCAGTACAATGTTAATGACTAAAAAGGACAGGAAATAGATGACCTTAATCCTTAGAAACCAACAGAAAATTGCTTCAAATCAAATGGTAAAATGAGCTCACAAAAAGATTTGAAAATAAAAGCAGAATTCTTAGGATTATGCTTCAGAAAAGTTGTGCCCATTTCCCACCAGGGTTATAGGAGTTTCCTGGGTGTTCATCAACAAATGATATTTCATTAAAAGACAATCATTGCCAATGTGACCTGAGAAATATGTCTTGTTGTTTTCTTATGTATTTCTTTTGTTCTTAGTTGGTTTAATGTCTTTCATTTTTCTACTGAATTCAAAATATGTTTAGGATAATATCATTTTTTACCTTTCTTTTTGTAAATAATCTCCCAGTTTGTCATTTGCATTTAGTTATAATTTGTGATTTTCATTTTATAAATAAGATCTTTTAAAATTTTATGCAGTAAAATAGTTAAATCTCTTCCTCTGGAACCTTTTTCACTGGTTTTATTATTAAAATAAACGTTACCAACCAGAGACTAAAGAGTCTTCATTTCTCTTTTTCTCCCTGCAGTTTGATATGTTCCATTAAATGCTTTAAGCTCTCCAGGGCTTACTGTGGTATATGGTCAAAGTATGTTTTTGTTTACTTCCATTTAACAACACCTCTCCAATCAGTAGCCAACCCGTCCCCACCAATGTTAACTGTACAGTGAGTTGTTCTATACACTGAGGTCTCTTTCAGAGCTCCTCTGCGCCAATCATCTGTCTGCTGAGGAAAGGGCCAGACCACATTGTTGTAATTCTCAGAGTTTGCACATTTTACTATCTAGTAGGAGAAGCTGCTCTTCATAATTATACTGCTTTCTACAGATTTATCCCCAGTTTATCAGGGAAAGTGTTTCTCCACTTGTATTTCAGGAAGGGACTCTGGATCTTTCTAAAGCCCTAACCATCACTGCAGATGGTCCCGCAGGCTCATGCCCAGCATGAGCGTGTATGGGGAGTACAAGGAAGGTCCATGAGGGGGGCGCTGGTGAGGTACCTGTGCTCTAAGGCATGGTGATCCAAATGGAGAAACTCCAGACCTAAGACTGGGCCTGTCCTGGGTCAGCATGGGCCCCATTGTTTCAAAGCAGCACCTCTGGGGGTGGGCACCAAGGACCAATACTGCCCTACAAGGTGGTGATCAGGGAGGGACGCAACAGCAGAAATGAGAGCACCAGGTGTGGTCACCATCACATAAGACAAGTGGGACCTACCCCCAGGATTCCTTATCTCAGCTCAAGAGTCCAACTTCAATATGCAGTGGAACACGTGTACCTCGTGTCTTCCTGACATGTGAACTATTTTCTTAGAGTAAAACTTCATAATTTATATTCCCTCAAGGAAAAATGATTTTAAAAAATAATTTTGGCTGGGTGTGATGGCTCATGCCTGTAATCCCAACACTTTGGGAGGCCGAGGTGGGTGGATCACCTGAGGTCAGGAGTTCAAGACCAGCCTAGCCAACATGGTGAAACCCCGTTTCTACTAAAAATACAAAAATTAGCCAGGCTGCTTGTAATCCCAGCTACTAGGGGGCGAAGGCAGGAGGATCTCTTGAACCTGGGAGGCAGAGGCTGCAGTGAGCCGAGATCGTGCCACTGCATTCCAGCCTGGGCTTTCTCATGAGACTTCGTCTCAAATAATAATAATAATAATTATTATTATTATTTTTAAATTTAGTAAAACCTTTCTGGTTTTACTAGAAAAGACCAAAGCATGAACACATGTAGGCACCCACAGGCCTTCACAAGCAGGCACACCTGCACGCATCCACCCCACAGGTTGCATAAAGGATTTTCTCCTGTAGTGCACACTGCAGCCATGGTTCCAGCCACCACGATGGGTGTCCACATGATGTGGCTCTTATTCAGAGGGAAAATTTTAGATTTTCACAATGTATTAATTCCCTATGGCTACTGTAAGAAAGTACCACAAACTAGGTGGCTTAAAATAACAGAAACGTATTCTCTCACAGTTTGAAAGACTAGAAGTCTGATATTAAGGTGTCACCAGGGCCATGCTTTCCCTGAAGGCTCTACCGGAAGTCTGTCTTTGCCTCATCCTCAATTGGCAGCCAGCAATCCGTAGCGTTCCCTGCCTTGTAGATGCATCGTTCTGACCTCTGCCTGTCCTCACGTGGCTGTCTTTCTTGCATGTTCACATCGTCTTCCCTCTGTGTCTCTTTTCCTCTTATAAGTTATACATATGTTATATGTTAAACATATCTAAACATATCCATAACACAGTCAACCAACCTTGTTCACCAAAGTCATTGCATAAACCAGTAGCTCTGTATCAACTCCATCTTTTTCCTCCAGGATTTCCATGATATTTGACCAAGGTTTGACCCCTATGAGAAAAGCAAAAATCATTAGAAACAGCAATTCATCAACATTCTTTATCTAACTCACATCACAGTTTATTATCCAAGGATGTATCCAGTGGTGGCAGCTTCTTTCAGTCGTCAAATTTCAATGTGTGACATTATCCTTAGGATGGATTTGAGTATGCTTCTAATTGAGAATATTTCTTAGTAGGGAACCCTATCTCACATCACCCTTGTCCTTTTGACAAGAGCATTGTATACCCTTCAGTGTCTGGATGCCTACCTACTTAAAAATTTCTTCGTATTAAATATGTAATTTTTAAAAATCCAATCACTGCAACTCTGTAGGCCATACATTTCCCCCAGGGCAGAAAACTCTTGGTAAGTATTCTCTGAATATCCTTCAGCACAGAAGAAAAGGGGATGTGGAAGATCTTAACATCCCTCTAGCAGTGACTCCAAGAAATAAGTGACATGCCCGTCTAGCAAATATCTCAAGAACAGAAGCATATTACATCTACTCCATCAGGGCACAAATACTGTTTAAGTATCAGCTAGGTACAAGGTCTATTGGGCAGTTGCCCTCAATAGATTTATAATCGAATGGAGCAGCTAGGCATAATCCCAAGAACAGACACCACCAGCAAAGAGCAATGGCTGAGAAGTGTCCAAGCATGCAGCTAAGCCTGTCACTGTGCAAGTGAGGTCTCTTGCAGCCGGGATGATTGCAGAGGACTTGGCACAAGAGGTGGCTTCTGCCTGGGCTCTGTAGGAGAAGGCTTATGGGTGGTTATTTCCAGGCTTTAGGAGGGACAGGAGATATTCCACATTCACATTCAGGACCACTAAGCCAAGGGCGAGACCAAAAAGGGGCACACAACACCTTGATATGGTTTTCTAGGCCCAAGATGAATATTTGAAGTGAAGTGAAATGAGAATTGCCTTGCCCTTGGCTTGGTGGTTTGCAACATGAAGCTCTTTCCTGCTTTCTCTATACAGATCTCAAAGGGATATTGCATATTCTTGCTTGAGAGAAGTAAACTTGGAAATAACCTAAATGCAGTGGTTTCCAAATGCTGGTCCTTGGATGGGCTATGTCAGAGCTGATTTTGGCCTTGAGAACAAAAGTTTCCCAAGGACCATGATAGGATCTGTCTTATTGATCTCCATGCTCTTAGGACAGTGCCTGGCATACAGTACATGCTCAGTAAAATGTCTGCTGAATAATGAATGGAGATCTCTGAGAAGGCATGAAGTGGGTTAAGCTGAAGCAATTTTAAAAGAACCAGGAAGCGATGCACACAGCAAGGAAAACAGAGAAGACGGGATTTAAGGGGATTTGTTTAAGAAGATTAAACAAAGAATAGGTACCTACTTACTACAAGATGTAAAAGACACAAATGTAGCTCAATGTGGAGATCTTCTGGCTTTCCTAAGTGAACAGAAAGCCTTTTGCTTTGGCTAGTTGCCCAGCCAGTCAGAACTGGGCAATCTTCTATGACCCTTGCTAACTGAGCACTAAGATATGTTCTTTCACCTCTTTCACCTGCTAACTACTGAATTATCTCCTTGCTGATACTGATTATCAAACTACTTTGAAGTCCACACCACAGTGTAGTTGTTCTTCCAACTCCCACAAAGTAACCATCTCAGCCCTCAAGACAGTCAATCAATCTCAACAGCAGGCCTTGGGTCTCACTGTCCAGTTTAAGAGATCTGGATGCCGCCGTTTGTGTTTATAACAGGGGCAGCTTCTAACATTCACATTTTGTATAAAACCGTGGCATAAAACACATGTTCTAGTGAGTTGCCCATGCATGATTCAAAGGAAGAATGTGCAGGGGAGAAAGTATCGAAACAAAGACTTTCTAGTGGTGCTAACGGACCCAGAACTCCTTTTGGTTGCTTACTCTGGAGCCAAAGATGCGAAACAGGTCCTGGGGGAGCAAAGGCCAAGGAACAATGGCAGGCAGCCCAGAGAGAGAGGGAGAGGTAGCCAGACTACATCTGTACTCCCCTTAAACAGACACATGCACTTGTGTGCATCTACTCCTTTATAATAAGAACACTCAAACACTGGCTTAATTTAACTGAAAAATGTGTTTTTCAGCTGTGTTATCTGAGTCACTTATTACCATTTAAGGATTTTAAGTCTGGAAATGTGCATCTATTTGTACACTCTTAGGATGGATGTTCATTCTTTTTATTGTTTTGGGGCAGAAAATCGGAAATATTTACAAGAATGAAGGTGAAAGGGAAGAAACATTTGGTTCAACAAAAATAGCCTTGGCAGACCTCAGGCTAGGCCTGTGTTCAACACCAGCACTTGCACGTTTCCTAGGAGCTCCTGTCAGAATCATGGGGTCCACTCACTCCCCTCATTGCCTTTGCTAACTCCCTACAATATGTGTGTGTATGTGTGCGTGTGTGTGTGTGTGTGTGTGTGTGTTTTGTGGAGGACAGGGTTCCTGTACTGGAATCATAAACCATATAACACTAGCCCTTCACATAACAGAGAAAGAAACTGGACCCCAAAGGAGTGGAATGGAGGGGCTCAGGAAGCTCATCTAGAGTTCCTAAGGTCTCTGGGGTGACTGTACTTACCTTATAGGATTACTGAGAATTGTCATTGAGATAAAGCACTTTGTCTTTTTTCCTTAATGCTGCTGGAGTACATTAGAAGACAATACTTAATCATTGTCATCTGTCTCTCTCCAACTCCACTGCCCCCCACCCCCACCCCAAATACTGGTTCTGTGACAGCCTTTTTTCCTGATGACTGCAAGCACACAATAGATACTCAAATATGTGCCGAAAAAAATGGGTCTTATGTGAAAAATGTTTAGAGTTGTGTCTGTTACATGATAGATATCCAAATATCAGTAGCTGTAATTGTACTGGGTGGTGGTTGGTGGAGACACCCAGTTTACCCCCGGGCGGACCAGCTGCACTAACTCCCCGGCCAGTCCTCTCTTAACCCAGATAAATAAATACACATAGAATCAATTGCTCAATACTTCTCCCCTCTTACTTTCCTAAATCTCCACATTAAATCCAAAGGAAAATAAGATATTTAGCTCAGTGCCTCGGACATGGGTTGGTCTAACACTCAAACAGAAGCTTCTCACAGCACATTCCATGTCCTTCCACATACATACTACATAAACACACTCAATGTAGATGCTTCTGCTATAAATAACGGTGGAAAGAGAGCTTGAGTTCTGTCAACCTGTAGCTTCCACTACACTTTACACGATCTTCACAGATCAATATACTCTTAAGCAGAAAGCAGAGACGGGATCGCTTGAAAGGATGAATTTTTTCTCTGCTAATCATGTGTGATACATATGTTTAAGAATTATCAAACGAAAAATTGAACTACTTCAAGAGCTATGCTGAGCCAAATTAGTGAGACTCAAGATTTAGGACAAATTTCAACATGCGTTATCCTCTCTGGTCACTCGCCTCACCCTCTGTGAGACAGGCAAACCTGTTCACTTAGAAGGAAGGACTCCGCATCCAGACAGCAGAGGGGTGTCAATCAATTTCCTGTCAACCACCACAGGGAAGACCTCAAGGAACGGGAGTTTCTGATATGGCAAAATGACAAAGCAAGGCTCTCTAAGGGCTCCCATGAGCCTTTCTCTCTTCCTGCCAGGCCCTGGCCATGAGAAAAGGAAAGTGACTTAAAGATGCAAGCAAAGAGAAGATCCAGTGGTCTGATATTAATACCATACCATGCCCCACAGATGAACTTGAATCCACCCTTTTATCTTAGGCCCTGAGCAAAAGTGCAATTGCCTGGGTCCAATGGAGCATTTTAAATTTTCCTTCTTCATAAACACTGATCACTCCTTATGATGGACTTTAACCCCTATGGTTTTTAGCCCTGCTAACTAGCCCACTCTTGGCCACAGACCAAATTGCCCACACTGCAGAATGAAGCCTTCTGGTTAGCCCACGTGCAGCACGCGTGATGTTTATATTTATAATGCAACCAAAGAAATTTGTTCTGGACAACTTCATTTGCTTTAGGTAGTAATGATTTCTGAGGACTGGTAGTTTGTTGGTTTTCTTGCTGATTCCTTAAATCTGACAGTTTTCATTATCCAAAAGAAACTATTCAAAAAGACAACTGCTTATATGTCCATTCGTCCCTGCTGAGGAATGAGTCTAAAGCCACTTTGAGAAGTAACATTTATGATTTATGAACTTGTGCACTAATGGATATGCTCAGTTTACCCTAACTCACCTCTGGCACCTGTCTGCTCTTTCTCCCAGTTGAGAGGGAACTGGAGAGCTGCTTCTAAACCCGCTAGGTGGAAACGCACCTGGAAGTCATGTTGCTCTCTGCAGAACACCACGGCACATTTATACGTTTAATGCCATCATAGGATTCAGGAACAATTTTACTAGCAGTAAAATAGGATGATGTTATATGTATGCATTATAAAATCACAGCCAAGACCACACATGTCCATAAAGAAACATGCTATTGAGCCACACATGATAAGCTATTTCTGAGTTTTTCCATTAGTGACATTCCTTTTTTTTTTTCCCAGCTGCTAGTGCTCAGTGGCAGACAGACATCAGCAGTTGCCAAAGGTTTAAGAAATTATTATTATTATTTTTTGGGATGGAGTCTCTCTCTGTTGCCCAGGCTGGAGTGCAGTGGCGTGATCTCAGCTCACTGCAAGCTCGGCCTTCCAGGTTCACGCCGTTCTCCTGCCTCAGCCTCCCGAGTAGCTGGGACTACAGTCGCCCGCCACCACGCCCGGCTAATTTTTTGTATTTTTAGTAGAGATGAGGTTCCTGACCTCATGATCCGCCCACCTCGGCCTCCCAAAGTGCTGGGATTACAGGCATGAGCCACCACGCCCGGCAAGAAATTTTATAGACAAAATCCATAAAGCTGGCCAGGCATAGTGGCTCATGCCTGTAATCCCAACACTTTGGGAGGCCAAGGCGGGCGCATCACAAGGTCAGGAGATCGAGACCATCCTAGTTAACACGCTGAAACTCTGTCTCTACTAAAAATATAAAAAATTAGCTGGCGTGGTAGTGGGCACCTGTAGTCCCAGCTACTCAGGTAGCTGAGGCAGGAGAATGGCGTGAACCTGGGAGGCAGAGCTTGCAGTGAGCCGAGATCGCACCACTGCACTCCAGCCTGGGCAACAGAGCGAGACTCTGTCTCAAAACAAAAAACAAAACAAAACAAAACAAAACAACAACCCATAAAGCTAAGAAGACAATTCATCAGCTTTTTTAAAAATTATTTTTACTAATCAGGAAAAGATGGCCATTGTTTTATCTCGATGGAGAGACTTGGTCTGGCAGATGAGAATCTCTGGACGGGGCTATGGATGGAGTCTTGGATATGGTATACAAAGGCCTGGGCTCATTTCAGGATCACTCCCTCATCCATCACAACATTCCCTTTATGGGATATGAAGTTCAAGGAAGGGAACTCTGAGCTGCCAGCTCAGCAAAGCCAAAGGAGAACCCGGCTCATGAGAAGTTGGCCCTCTAACTCACACCCATAGCAAGGGCCCTAGGGTTACCTAAAGCTTAGGACAGGAAGATGAAGAGTTTAGTTGTCCTAAAGCAACTGCCAGAGTTAAGGGATGAAATACAAATCCTCCAAGGATGAAGGAGAGGCGCTGCTGCCTACCAGCTGCCAAAACACACACTGCTGGCCTTAAACCTAATTGACTAGCCTTGGAAAAGCTAGACCTGGTTTCTGTGCCAACGGCATTCCTTATCAAGGATTCTAGACTGGCCCCATGATCTACTCTTGGCCATAAGGGTCTTTCTACCTAGCAGCAGAGGGCAACATGCTGTGGCAGAAGAAACTTGCCTCAGCCTGGGAAACACCTTCCAGACTCACAGCCCCTGACCATGTACTAGAGTTTGTCTCCCTCACATACCCGCAACAAAGAGACCTCAAGTTGCCTCCTGGCCTGCCATCAGCCATGCCTAGTGCCGACATCTGCCTACGTGTTCATGGGTATAGGAGCCCCCGTTAAAGGTCCCAGATGTTTTTCATTAACTTTCATTTAAACTTCTAAAATAACTCAAGCTACTTTCTTTCACATTTGGATTCAGCATTCAAAGGTGGGTCTGAGTAACGCCAAATCACAGACACAACTGGTTCGAATCAAAAGTACAATGTAGGCCACCCGTTTCTTCCTGACACATCCTGGCTGCTTTATGCATAAGTGTGCACGCACACACACGCAACTATAAGGAAATATACCAACAGGTTAACAGTGATTATCTTTGTCGAGATTAGAGGTGAATTTTTTTTGTCTTCTTTAACCTTTTCCCAAGTTTTTATAACAGTAGTATTACAATTACAATCATAAAAAGAAAAAGGACTGTCAAGTTTTTGTTCTTGAGTCTTTGTGGGGATGATAATACTACCTGGGTCTTACTGGGGAAGAAAACAAACAACAAAAGACAAAAGGATAAAAGTCATTTTAATTGGGAAGCATTTTAATTCCAGGCTTCCCAATATCACAGGGTCCACAGCACGTTACACAGTAAACTAGAGCAGAAGCTCATTCTTCGTCACATGTTTGCAGCATGCCTGCTGGCTCTGGGCCAGTTAGGGTGCTGGGACACCACGCTGGGTGACAGAGACCCCATCCTTGAGCAGGCAACCTCAACTTGGAGAGACAGGGACGGGCAACATCACCACAGCAGAGAACAGGTGCATACATGGGCTTTAAAAGCACATGCCCAAGGCAAGGGGGTGGGGGTACAGCCGGGGTGAGAGAAGGCGGTGGCAGGTGGGCAGGAGTTGAAGGGTGAAGGGTCCCCTTAGCCAGGGGACTGACTTTATGCTACAGGCACTAGGAAGCCACTGGCAGGTTTTGGATGTGACCGAACTGTTTTGGAGGGTGGCCAGGAGCATCGGTTCAACATAGTGAGGGCCTGAGTAAGGCAAGGCAGGGGATGGAAGAGAGGAAGGGAGGTTCTTTTTTGTTTTGTTTTTAATTATACTTTAAGTTCTAAGGTACATGTGCACAACGTGCAGGTTTGTTACATATGTATACATGTGCCATGTTTGTACGCTGCACCCATTAACTCGTCATTTACATTAGCTATCTCCTAATGCTATCCCTCCCCGTCCCCCCCACCCCATGACAGGCACCGGTGTGTGATGTTCCCCTTCCTGTGTCCAAGTGTTCTCATTGTTCAATTCCCACCTGTGAGTGAGAACATGCAGTGTTTGGTTATTTTGTCCTTGTGATAGTTTGCTAAGAATGATGCACATGTATGTTTACTAGCGAGAAGGTTCTAGAAACATCTGGGGGTCTTAAGCAATGAAGCATAGAGGGGAGGGGAGGAAGGAACCAGGGCGACCTTGAACAAGACAGGAAGAACAGGAGGAGGAGCTGGACTTCCGTGTTTCGGTGGCAGGAGCTGGGTAGAGGCAAAGACAAGCTCAGCATCTGACCTCTCCCAGGTAAGCCCACGAGCACTTTTCTTTCATTATCAAACCCCATTCTGGCCCTAAACTTTGTGTGCTTACTATCCTAAACAATGTTTCTTGCAGTGGGAAGTCCACATCTCAGGAATTCTGTTAATTCTTAAATCTGTCTCAAACACGTACAACGCGGAAACCTCCCTACATTAGACACCTTCACCTTCACGACATAAGGGGGCAGGGACTACTCACCTCTTTTCGTGTCAACAGCAGTGACAGCCTGAATTAGGAGAGGCGCGTTGGACTCGGAGTACTCTACAAAGACGAGCAGCAGCTTCAGCGCTGTCTTCACCACCAGGCGGAACTGGCAGAAGAGATAAAACCATCACATCGCTGCCAACAAGGCCTGTGCACCTGAGAGCATCTTCCTAACCGCAGCTGGCACCCGGCATTTCCTAGATGAGATGCTCTCAGCGATTAAACGGATTGCTTCACAGATCCTCACAGTCCTTCATTAGAGGCCTCAGAAGGCAGGTGTTAGTACTATCCCCATTGTGCAGATCAGGAAACTGAGGTCCAAAGTTCCCTGTATGCAGTCACGCAGTAAAAAAACAGAACCAGGACGTGAACCCAGGACGCATGGCTCCAGAACTCACACCTGGCAACTCTCAAAACACGAGCATTTGCTGAATCAATTATATCCTCATTTTACCCCAACTATAACATGGTAAGGTAGGCATAAGCACAGTTCTTATTTTTCCAGTTGAAGAAGCAGAAATAGCAGGTTAAACAATTCATCCAAAGTCACGACAGCCAGCTTAGGTGGAAGGGAACCGGAACCAAGTCCCCCATTCTTAAAGCCAAGCAGAGAAGGCCGCCTGGAGCCGGAGAACCCCTGCTCCCTGGATCCAGGGCTCAGCATTTGCCAGGAGCCGCAGGAAGCCCAGAGGTCTTCCCTCACACAGGCAGAAGCCCCTCCCTCAGTATGCGCCCTCAGGGAGGTCACAGGTTATTCACCTACAGAAAACCCCAAACCTCCCAACTGAAGCGGCCACAGATTCCTAATCCCAGCTTTACCAGCCCCGGGGCTGCAGCAGCCTTGGGGTCTCTGGGTCAGCCTCGGGGGCCCCTTAGGTGCTGGTGCAGGCACTTGCCCACAGTCTTGCCCTTGACTCCACTTCCTTCCAAAGCCTCCTCCTAAAGGAACTTGCACACCAACTACCTCAATCTTGCCCTTGACTCCACCTCCTTCCAAAGCCTCCTCCTAAAGGAACTTGCACACCAACTACCTCCTCCAAATGGGTTCAAACTGTGCAGCTGAGAAACAGCAAGGTTGCCTTGGGCTGTACATTCCACCCCAAGCTGCTGGCTTGCCAGTGGCCCCATCCCGCTATGGGCAAAATGCACTTTCAAGGGTAGAGGGAGCTTATTTGCACTGTGGCTGCAGGACCTGGAACTGCACTTGGTGCAGAGGGAGCTGGAAGGTGTTTGCTGACTGAAGAAATCAGTCAGTGACCAGATCAATCAATCCACGACCTCTCGCCCACCCCTTGAGCCTGTATCACTGGTTGTGGCAAATCAGCTCCAGCTTCTTCCTGTGTTCTGCAGCCCAAGGAAGGTTCTGTGCCTCTTGGACGCATCTGCCCACATCACAGTGTTAGGGAACATGGGTAGAATTTATAGGTAAATTTGGGGGAGCCCAAAGAGGGAACTGTGTTGTGCAGTCCACAGGGAATAGCTTAAAAACACCACTCACCCCAAATCATTCATCCACATTCATGCAACCCCTTTACCCTCTTGCTTCCCTCTCCTCTGCTGTCATACCTACCAAGCACACCTACCAAGACTGATGTCTTTTCCTCAGTTCCACATCTCTCTCCAGCCAGTGCCCAGGTGCACAGCTCCCCTTTATAAGGAAACTTCTTCAAAGAGGTGCTACAGCCCCTGGCTCCACCTCCTAACTTCCCTCTGACTCTTCAGCTCAATTTGATAGGACTTCCATCACCACCTTGACAGATTACTTGTCAAGGTCACCAGTGGCCTCCACAGTATGAAATCCAGTGGTTACTTCTCTGCCCATTTTTACTCAACTCTCAGCACCATGTGACAACTAACTGGTCTCTCCAGAAACAACTTCCTCTCCCTCTGGGCAAGCAAAGTCTCCTGAGTGGCTCCTTTTTCATCGGTTCCTTTTGGGTGCTCAGTCTCTCAGTGTGGGAAGACCTCTGAGTTCACTCTTCTTTACTCTCCTTCTCTTTCCACACTCTCTCTAGGTGAGTTCATCCAGTGCCCTGGTTTGAAAGTCCATGTAAGATCAGATGCTAAATATCGCATTCCAGCCCTGAAACTCCTGAGCACGCATCGTATAATCTCCTGACATCTCCACTCAGATGCTAACAGATTCACTGTGGCCAAAACAGAACTCTCAGTTTTCATTCATGCTTACCCCCTTCCACCTACCACTCCTAGCCTGCTCCCTCCAAAGCCCCCACCTCAGGACAAGGCCCCACCACCCTGAGCACAGGGAGGGGTTCACCTGCACTTCCCTCACCCCATCTCCACAGCAAATCCACCCCCAGTGCTGCAAGAGCTCCCTTCAAATTCTATCCCAAACTTGCCCCTTTACATTCTCTCTGTCCATCACCCTGGACCACTACAATAGCCTAAGTGCTCTGGCCTTGTCCTTCTGAAGTCCATTGTCCAAACTGCAGCCAGAGTGACCACTGCACCTTCCTTCTCTCAAGCCTCCATCACTCCCCATCACGCCCAGGGTGCTGCCTGTCCCGGCAGGCTTTCTGTGCTGGCCTCCGCCAAGCCCTCTGATCTCCTTTCTTGACACCCCCTCTCGGGCCCAGTGCGCTTCACATGCTAAGCTCTATAGTTGTGTGAGTGTTTTTCACACGGCAGAGTTCATCCATGATTCAGGGTCTTCTCATTGGTTATTCCTTCTGCCTGAAAGCCACCTGGAACCAGTCATCACAGGACTGACCTCATCCTTCAGGTCAGAGAAATTCTCATATAGAAAATGCCTTCCTGACTCCTTTACCTAAAGGAGCCCCTTGGTCACCATCACATCACCCTGTTTCATTTTTATTTATTTATTCTGAGATGGAATCTCGCTCTGTTGCCCAGGCTAGAGTGAAATGGTGCAATCTTGGCTCACTGCAACCTCCACCTCCCAGGTTCAAGTGATTCTCCTGCCTCAGCCTCCTGAGTAGCTGGGACTACATACAGGTGCACACCACCATGGCTGGCTGATTTTTGTATTTTAAGTAGAGAAGGTGTTTCACCATGTTGGCCAGCCTGGTCCTGAACTCCTGACTTCAGGTGATCTGCCTGCCTCGGCCTCTCAAAGTGCTGGGATTAGAGGCATGAGCCATCGTGCCCAGCCACCTCGTTTCATTCTTTTGAGACAAGGTCTCATTCTGTCAGCCAGGCTGGAATGTGGTCATGCAAGCACAGCTCACTGCAGCCTCAAACTCCTGGGCTGAAGTCATCCTCCCACCTCAGCCTCTCGAGTAACTGGGACTATAGGTGCGTGACACCACACCTGGCTAATTTTCTTTAACATTTTGTGTAAAGATAGTGTCTCTCTATGTTGCCCAGGCTGGTCTTAAACTCCTGGAATCCAGCAAACCTCCCACCTCAGCCTCCCAAGGTGCTAGGATTTCAGGCATGAGCCACTACACTCGGTCTTTTTTATCCACATCCTTTAGCATGACCTGAAATTGTTGAAGACACTTGTTCACCTATTATGCCTCTGTTACCCCAAGAACGTAAGCTTCACAGCAGCAGACAGGCTTTACCTGCCCCATGAGGTGGTGTTCAGTCAGCATATGTGTGAAGGGTAGGCCAGCCTGTCCCCCAGTCCATCCCCTATGCTGTGTGAAGTGAGCCCTCCCAGCCCCCAGCCTCCTCTTCTCACCTTGTAGTAGTCCCCAGCAAAGCCAAGCCCCCCCACCCCAACCGTTGCACTGAGGGCAAGCCATGCCCTGGGCTGTTATTCTCAAGGTCACCTCCTCCCCACACAGGGAGCTGAGTACTTTAGAGTGCCGGGAACTCCTCAGAGAGTGTCTGCCCTCATAACTTGGGGCCCACAATTGCTCCTCTGCTTCTATTCTGTAGGAATAGACTACATTCCAGTGTATTTTTCTCAACTACACGGTTGGAGGTTGAAGGGGAAGGTATGGCATAATGAGTTGTGCTCTGTACGTTTAGGGCTGAAGAAATTTCTTCAAGTAAATAAAAAGACCTAGCAAGTTCAGGCTTGGCAACTTCCTCAGTGGGTGGACTATTATTATGTGGTTTAAGCCTCTAAATGCCTTCCCAGGAAAGAACCTGGCTGCTGCCCAACCCACTACCCCCATTAGCTGGTCTCAGCAGGGCCCCTTAGCCCACCTCACAGAGGCTCCCTCTGAGTATCTCTGTGGTCAAGGGGCCTTGACCGATACGGTCTCAGGCACCCAGAATCCCTAAGCCATTCTCCTCTATGTGGCTCTCTAATTAAGAAACCACTGTTTTCTAGCAAAGCCTCCTTTTTCTATCGGTCTCAGCATGCCTATTCCTGTCTTTCTCTCCTCTGTGATACAGGCTCTGTTTGGAGCTCTTTTGGCACTCTAATTTGTTTTTTTAAAAAAATCCCCAAACATCTTCTGATTCATAACTTTGGGTTTCTATGAATTTGGCTTCTATTGAGTTTAAGTTTATGTGGATGTACTTTTGGAAGCTTTACTATGTAAATTAATAATAAGCATATTAGTTAAATCACGTTAGGGAAAAAAGAGCACTAGAACATTAATTTTGTAGAAATGCATGGTACTAATTGCAAGCATGCACTAACTCATTGTCAAAATATGTCCTGCAGGATCCTCCTCAGAAATACCTTACTAGCATTACTGTATTGACTTGAAAGTTAAAAAGGTACATTCTATCAAAAGAACTCTATAAGCCAACCTCATTTATCCAGAAATCATTTACTCTGATGCCCTCATGTATCTGGAATGCAGTCAAAAGCCTTGACATCTTGGAACAACCACAGTGGAGGCCACACACCGTCTCCTTCAAGTGCAAAGACACTGCTCACCCCATAGCTCTTAAAAATCCACCCCTGGTGCCCCTTGCACTTATGTTAGACACATTTTATAATAAGTGGAGTGGATATTAAGATTCACAGCCCACATCTGCTGAGAAGAGGCAAATCAGAGAGGACAATGACAGAGAAGGAGAGGCAGGCCCAGTGTGGTAGCAAGAGAGAGTGTCACAAACTAGGAGAGTGGATTAAGTTGCAAGGATGCCAGAGCACACACCACGGTGTGGCCTAGACATGTCAGCAAAGCGTCACTCCAATCTGAACTGTCTGATTTT